TAGGTTCCTTGAATCATAGCAAGTGTACAAATTATACAAAATAGTTGCAATCCAAGGAAGCTTAGAAGTTAATTTCCAAAAAAGCATACATAAAATTCTATTTGCAGCTTTAATGTTTACCATATCTTGGGAAATAAAACCCTTTCAGTTATAATTCCTGGTTTGCCATGAAAGCAAATACAGCTAAGGAATATATTCTATCATTAAAGGCAACTAAACTTTTACTCCTAGCACAAAGCAAGGCCCATAAATCTAACTGGACATATTCTCACCGAACTATACATATGGCTAAAGGTTTGATTCTCTAACTAGAAAAATCTACAAATTGAAGCTTGCTGGATTGTTTATTTAAGGTTATTTTGGATGGCAAAAGATTTGAAGAAATATAAGACTTTATACTGATACCTCAAAAATTACCATTTGGCTCAATATCTAATATTTTAATTTTTGATGTACCATGCAGCAGGATGGAGTAGAAATCCTTATTTTTTATTTATAAATTGCCATTACCTTTTATAAAGGCGCTTTGGGCATTTGCTTTGAAATGACTAATATTTAACTAAGAACGGTTCTTCAAGAACTATAATTTACTTAGTTTTTGGTGCTAATGTTTGAATTGCAGTGCAGTGTTAGGCCTGTAAATACCCTAGAGTCAGTAAAATGGATTGCTGCTGGGGAAAAAATAGAAGAGAATTTCAATAAGCCTTTTCAATGAATTGGTTGACCATTTCTACATCTTTCAGAAACCGAAGAGCAATTGAAATAGAAATGCGTCATGATTATATGAAGTATCCCATGATACTTTCTGATTAATGTGGCAATCTACGGATAATTCTCAAGCTTGGTTTGAAGAATTTCTTGAATTTCATTTCTTGGATTGTTTGAAAAACGTCAAAAGGGTTCTTAAATGCTTTGCTGATTAATCCGGTGAGAAGAAGCCAATGCAACATTGTAACCTATTATCAGTCAGATACTGTTCTACCGCTGTTCTATTATGCTGTATAAATGCTATATAAATGATCCTTAAAATAAATATTTTCTTTACAAGTAGAGAACATATTATCCATAAAACTTCCTTTAAAAAAGACCTTTACATATTATGTTATTCTTTCATGCTACTAATTAGTGTAAATCAGGGGATTCTAGTCTACAAACAGGCATTGGGCCTCTATATCAAGATGGTAGCTACACGCGTTTAAAAAAAGGAGTGGGACTTTGATCACATGGTCATGACAGCCATCTTAACTTGATCCCTGATGAAGGGACATCACATTTTCGAACAGAAATGGCTACTCCTATAAATATCTAAAGCGCTTAAAAATAACTTTCTGACAAAAGTTACGGTTTTTAGAGTGAAGCAAACCCTTTCACTTTGGTGTTATGTGGCATTGCTGAGGAAAAGGGAAAAGAACAGAAATTTAAAACGGAATCTCCCTTTTAATTTTGTGATCCAATACCACATTTTTATGACTCTTAGCTTTTTAAAAATGTAAGATTTTTTAAAATAGGGGATGAAACATTTCTACTCTAACTTGCTTGTCAAAGACAACTATAAATTGTACATTTTCTCCTATTTCCATTAGATCGTGTTTTTGCAATAGAAACTGACAAGATGTAGAAAAATACTAACTTAAACATATTGAACACGTTTATCAAGCTACCAGAACATTTCATTATATTAACCTGGCAAACTTCACTACCATTCTAGGTAACACAAATTCCTCTCCTCTCCAAAAAAGCCTGATTTAAAATGTGAAGTACAATATAGCCCCAGATAGTACTTTATCTGTAATCTTAGTTTTGTCAATTTACTTAGCTATCAAGCTAACTTTAAAAAAGTTATACTTACTTTATTTCAGTCCCAAAAGGCAAGTTCAAACCAAATCCAATGAAATAGACTAAAAACCCAGCCAAAAATGGTAATTATCTTCATATAGGCACATTCCAAGTTATATTCAAAAAAGTAGCCCTGTAAAACTATGTCTTAGATATTCATTTCTGATTATGCTTTGCTGTAATTTTTGAAAACCTTGAAAATTCAACAAATATAGAAAATGTTGCCAACCTTAAAACAATGGGTATATCAATAAACCCATGTTCATTCTTGCCTATGCACCCTGTGGACTTGTTTCTTAAATTGAGTAACATAATATAATTATTTCTTTAGGAAAATGTGTGTGTGTGTGTGCATGTAAATATTCACACATATGCGCATGTGTATGCATATATATCCACATATACAGTAATATATAGCTTTATATTATATTTACCAGGTTTAACAAATTGCATTTAATGATAGAATAAAGCAAAGGTCTTGTGTGTTAAAAAACAACCAGATTTTGCAGGGATGTACAGTACATACAACATTGTTGGTAGACAAACCTAATGATTTATCCAACCTAAATTAATTGGTTTATTTCTTTTCTTTTTTAACCTCAACAATCCATTCTAAGTATTTGTTGGAACTGTTTCAAGCTTTAAAAGCAACACAGATTGGTATGTAAACTGATTATATATTGTTTCATTTAAATGGCACTTGTGAATAAGCTGCAAATTCTTTCAGAATTGCTCTGAATAAAACGCAAACAAATTTTATATTGGGAATGTCACAATATTTACAATCACACACCAGATGTTATTTGTCCCTATTAATTTAGTAATGGCTTATCCGAATAGCGTATGTTTAACCAAAAGCCTAGTTTTCTTTTTCATGTAATTTATGGATACGCTTCCCCATCCTTCCTTTATTTTTATTTTTCATAGGGTATGTACTGAAGGGATACTGACATTTACTCCAGTCTCAAATAACTCTGCTTTGAAAAGTCATTCAGTGCTTTTAATTAAGTACATATTTCTGTTCCATTATGGGCAATTGGATTACTGACTGACTAATTGCATGCTTAGTATCTTTCCACAGCGCATATGGTTTGCAAAATCTCCTTTAATCCAGTATTCTAAAATATCAAAAGTGATTTGAGAATAAAATATAGGTTTGGAATTTTGGGTGACAAACAAGCAACATGTTGAAAATTAGCAATGTCTTCTTTAAAAGGCTGTTGCTTCTGGAATTTTTTTTTGCAGAATTTGCTTCAAATTTCTTATGTCAGGATGACTATTGGGAAAGCATCAATACAGACACAATTGAAAGGCCTGGCTTCTATGCAGCATAGCAAGATTAAAGTTGCTGTATGTATGTATGTATGTATGTATGTATGTATGTATGTATGTATGTATGTATAGGCTAAACATGGGGTATAGCAAAATGTAATGGCTGGTACCAAAAATGTTCAAGGAAGATAACAAATGTCTGTTATCAGATGGTTTTGAAATGAATCTTCTTTGCATATGTGTTCCATAGAAAAGATAGGCGATTTATATGTCAATAAAATGAGGAGAGAAAAACTGCATACTTTTTCCTGCTTTTCTGTTGGCTGGTAAAGTAAAGTATTTGCCACAAGACAAAGTCCCTGTTAATACTTAGTGGACAAATTTAAAATACGCTTTCAGAAAGTTTAATAAAATTGCAATCTTATTAATATATAATTATATACCCTGAAGCTACCCATAAGTTACCTGCATTCCAATAATATTTGTTTGCTATCTTGTATAGAGATTTGAATTGGCAGGATCAAAGAAAAGACTAGCAATTAAGATTTGGCGAATTGGTGCTAAAGTATAGGACATATTTGTTCTAAACTAAGATTGCACTCCATACACAAGCCACTCGAAAGCTTATTGAAGTAAATAGTACTTCAGCAGTGTAACTGAGTGCAGAATTTATGCTGTATGCGTACCCTTTGGCAATGTGGATTTTCTTGATAAAATGACCTCTTAGATGACCACTATACTCCTTACTAGAGATCTAAAATATTTTATATTAGAAGATTGGGAAAGCACTGATCTTGACATTACTGGAAGAAAATTTGTTAATTTTCAAAAACTAACGGGAAAAGAAGGAAGGGAAGAAGGAAGGTTTTTTTGTAGATTTTTTTGGTATTTGGTTATGGGTAGTTTATCTATATACCTAGATATATACAGTGATTCAGCATTCTTTATCAAACGACTAGGTTTTGCATCTCTAAAACACATGGAAGATGAAATGTTCCAGTCATGCGGAGAAAATGATTTGTAAGATTGATGAAGCTTGCAGCGTGTGAAATAAATATAGGTCCATAACTGCCAGCTGATGACACTTCACATTTCCATAATATAAGATTATAATATTCATTCCCATACAGTAAATTTGCCTTCTCCCTGTGTCTTTAACAGGAACTTCTGAGAGAACCATGTGGCTCTGCTGCCAGTTCAATCATATACAGTTAACAGATTAATCAGAAACATGCAGAGATTTCAATATTCTATGCTTTTATCCACTTGTACATGCTATGGAAATAAAAGGGGCTTAATTCTAAGTAGAGGTTGCATAAGTTTCTGAAAAATGAAAAAATTATTGTAGTGAACCAGTACAGCTTGGTTTCTGGAGCCCAGGAGGAGAAATTGTAGCAATTCTCCTGACACAAAGCAATTATTTTAGAATGTGCCATTATAAATAAACCACTACAGCATAATCCAAACTTTTAAACTTATGATGAGCCCCGTCCCCCAGCAACTCTATGATTTAAGGCAGAAAGAGAAATATTTCGTTTGGTGGTAGGATGCGTGCAATGCTTGCTGCTACCGCTAGTTGTCGCTTTCTTACCAGTCTGAGTACTCGATGTTTTCAGCACTGCGGTTACAGGCAGAGAATGCAGTGCTAATTACGAGTAACTCGTAAAGCTGTCAAAACTCCGTATATCCAGAATTAAATAATTAGAAACAAACAAAACATATAACTCCAATCAACAAATAAACAAGATGAACGAAAGATATGAAGAGGGAATCCCCAAAGAGCCTGGAAATGTTTTGGCAAACAGATCTCAACTAAGGCAAGCGTACCATATCCAGCATAGCATCTCCAACACCCAGGCACCCCTAGCTGAGTGGGTTAGGAAAAAGCCTACCTGAAGAATACTACGGTCTCCCAAAGGTAGACTCCAAATGCATTGAGGTTACACATTTTTTCAGATCGGATGGATTTGTAGTCCACAAGTCAGCACAATAAATTGGCACTTAGCAACAAAACAAGAACAGTAATAATAATAAATAAATGCCAGACTGAGTAAAATGGTGGAAATTTTCCTCTTTGTTAATTTTCTATACAATCCTTGTAGTTAGAGACGCCCGGGCAAAGAGGAAGACGCTGAGCTCGGACCGATGAGGCGCTGGGAATTCAGGACCCTGGACAGCAAACCGCCCCCCCTCCCCCACGTTCTAGCACCTTGGAGAGAAAAAAATTGGCCTCTAAACTCCCGCGCTGCTCTCCGTGTTAAAACAGCCTCGTTGAAGCGAGCCAGATTCCTGCAAAGAAGAGAAGAGCTCCCTTTCTTTCAGTGGAACCCCAGCGCTCTCACCGGGCGTCTGGACCATGCAGAATGCCACGAGAATAAATTGGCCATGTGGGGGGAAAGAAACCCGGGGGCTAATCTCCTCGGTCTTTTAGGGTTATCCCCCTCAGTTACATCCAAAGGAATTCGCGATCCTCCGCATTTTGCTGCATTGTTCCGGAGATGTTGTTTTCCCGCTGGCCGATGTTTTGATGCCCTTGATTTCTTCCTCCAGGGATCTATCCCACGCGAATAAGTTATTATTGCTGCAGGGACGGTGTCCCATTGCTCATGACTAAAGCGGGGAAGGAAGCTAAGGGTAAGTTTCATGGGCTTCGGCTCCCATTAGGATCGGAAAGCAAGAAAAAGCGAAAAGTCTCTCGACTGCTTCTCCAGCAGGTCCATTTTCTGCCTTATCTTCTCGAATTCGCGGGATCCTCAGACTTTCCTGCTGCATTAATTTATTAAACTAAGGCGGAGGAGGAGGAGAAGAAGGAGGGGGAGAGGAAAAGCTTGTTTAAAAAAAAATACACGAAGAAAACCCCACCGTAAGCCAACCCCTGGAGCGTCCTGGCTCCGCCCACTAGCCCCTCTCATTGGCCAGTGAGCTTGAAAAGCCACCTTTTGTTGTGCTCGGATCAAAAGCTCGTTATTCAGAGAACGGAGTTAACCTTTAAAGCGCCGGTGGCTTTTTTGACCGCTTTTGGAAATCAGCGCAACTTTGCATCTTTTGAAATCTCTTCCCTTCTCTTTTTTCCCTAACGCGTCCCCGACCTAGGACGGAGGAGCGCCGAGCCGGCAGCCGCAGAGCCAGGCGCGGGTGTTCTCAATCTTTCTTTGGTTCCTTCCTTCCTTCCCCCCTTTCCCTTGTCGTCTTTCCCGCTGATTTTGACATGAACGGAGTTGGGAAACTACACACAGACAGAAAGAGAGGTAAGCAAGAGCTTGTCAGTTCGGTTTCACCCAATCCCTCGCGCTGAATGTGACCATCTTTCATTTCTCAATATCAATACTCTGAAAACACGCGGTTTATCCGAATCCTAGAGACGATTAAAAAAAAAAGCCGATAAAATTCTTATTTTTCTTTTAGAGCATTAGGTCTGAGAAGAACATGACAATCTAACAGGTTTGCCTCCGTTTGCCTTCAGGCACCTGGTGGGTCGTTCTAATCCCCCCCCAAAAAACCAAATAATTTTCGGAACAGGTGTTGGTCCTGTGCCTCTATTCTTTAAAATCATCTCCTCAATTTGAGGAAGGACAGAAATGCTAGAGTATGATTTGGTTCAACAGCCCCGCTTGCCCCGCTAGAAATCACCTTCTGTTGCCTAGGAATATTTTCACACGTTCTGTGCCTCAGATCTATAGCTATGTCTGTTTCTGAAAGATAGCCCTGGAACTTAATGGACTTTTCCTCTGTGAAGCCATTTGCACATCTGACCATTAAATAAATGTTACGATATAACAAAGACAGTCACTTCCTGAGATTTTTTCATATCGCTGAATGATAGAACGATCCATCTGTTGTACCTGCATGTTGAAAGAGAGCTATGTTCTTACCGAATGTATTTGGTATTATTAGTTGGTATCATGCTGCTTGTTTAGTCACCGATAATAAGTTATCACGCCTGTAACTTCCTTGATTTGTTTTTATGTTTTTTGAACAGAAATAGGAGCCTTTGGGAGTGAGCAATATTTTTTTTCCATAACTGGATACCAACTCAATGTCCAGCTGTACAAAAAAAAATCCAGTCAAAGGGGAAAAATTAAATCACTGGGAAAGACAAGATAAGAGAGGTCCTTTTCTATTGTTTGTATCAAATACATAAGTAATGTAATTCAATCCTTTCCTGCTTTCTATGAATAGAATTAAACCCCAGTAAGATTAAAAATAAAGGATTTTCCCCAAATGTGCTTACAGCTTCAACCCCGAGCCTTTTCAAGTTATAATTACATTTATATGCTTTTAGTATTCTATTACAGACATGAAAATGCTGCATTTTAGATGTTCTTGAATAAAAAAGGAAGAGATTTAAATGTTATTTGCGCCTCTTAAAATCACCTACAGTTAAATGTTTAAAGTTGGATGGATTGAGCAATTTAGAAGTTTTCATACAAGGTGGGATATTTTTGTTTGTTTTAATTGCTGCTGTAAGCTGTCTCAGTTAGAGATGAAAAGAGGATGTCAAGAAAAGATATCTACATGGGAAAGATTCTCTTGAAATGATTAGCTACCTGGCAATATAAAATATATTGCAATGTCTCCTTCTTCTCTGGGACTTCTCATAAAAAAATTCAAAGGTATAAACTTGGAGTAAGAGATGTAATAGATCTCTCTTTTTAAAACCTATTTGCTTTACAAACATGCTTATCATGGACACTCCACAGAATTTTTCATAGTAACCAGGTATAAAATATATAACAGGCAGGCAATGATATATGCATATTCTGTCTCTGCCCCCCCTCTACATTCTTAACTCATGAATGTGGATTTCGAAGAATATTTATCCAGTTTTGTGAAAAATATGAATGCTGAGTGAAGTAGGAAGAAATCCTTAGAAATGACATACTTTAAAGCTTACAGCAAAAAGACTTTCTGATGACACCTTGTAATACTTATAAGGCTAAGTGCAATGAAGATTTGCTTTTTTTTAAAAAAAGAAATCACATGTTTTTAGCATGTGTGCTCTCAAAAGTAGAAAGTTTAGCTTTTATTTATTTATTCACCACATTCTATAATTTAGTTTTGGTTCTTATATTGTTCCAATATATCTACCTTTATGAATAGTGATATGCAATTTGCCTGCATATGTGAGAAAAGTCAGGAGGAGTAACTATTTCCATTTTATTATATGTTAAATTTCCCTTCTGGGACACTTTCTAAAAAGACAGTAGATTATTTGTCGTAGATGGAATCTTGTGCATTAGATATTATAGGTTATTTTGAAGAGAATAAACTTCAGTTTTCAGTTTCTTCATAAGATAGTAACATTCGCTGTAAATGATTAGTACCATCTAGAAGGTACAACCTTTCAATTTCTCTCCCTCCCTCCCTTCTTTCTTGTAAAAAATATTTTTTTAATCTTTAATTTAATTAAAAGTAGAAATAAAAATAGAAGCATAGTTCAGTGCTTGGAATGGGAGACCATCAGGAATTTGTGAGCCTATGGACTAAATGGGAAGCTTGAAGAAATGTTCTGGAACAAGGCAATGACAAACTAATTCCCCAAGTCACAAGGAGTTCGGCTTGAATTGAAAGAATCTTGACATTCGTTCAGAGAAGTACAACATTCAGTGGCAGTGGAGTTATCACAGGGGAAAAAGAATAGAGTCCACATTGATCCGCCATTCATTATTTGTCTACACTTCTTTTTTAACATAGAAAAGCATGATGTAAAACTTTGGTTGTAGGTGCTCTAATGCCCGGGTTAGGTGACCTAACCTTTTGGCCACAAAACTATTTGAAATGATACCTGGTAAGGTAGGGCTATACAGGTCTTTAAGCTTATGCACAAAGTAGATAATGATGTACACACAGCCCTACACATATTTTCCCCCTTCCATGTACAGAAGAGGGCTCACTTTGCCATTTTCTCTGGAATATTATAGTGTTTGTCTATAGTCTGACCAACAGTGGTCCACTCAACTGCCTGGAGCTAGTTAGCACTATATTTTATTTATTCATTTGGTTTGTCAAACATGTACAAGATAACAGGTATAAGTATAAACATGGACATGAACAAAGGAAATGGATACAGATAAATGGGGACAATAGAACAGGGATGGTAGGCACGCTGGTGTGCTTATGCACACTCCCTTTATGGACCTCTTAGGAATGGGGTGAGATCCATGGTAGACAGTTTAAGGTTGAAGCTGTGAGGATTAGAGGATGTAACAATGGAGTCAGGTAGAGCATTCCAGGCATTGACCACTGTGTTGCTGAAGTTGTATTTTCTGCAATCAAGTTTGGAGCAGTTTACCTTGAGTTTGTATCTATTGTTTGCCTGTGTATTATTGAGGTTGAAGCTGAAGTAGTCATTTGTAGGTAGGACACTGTAGCAGAAAAATTTCTGTAATACACTTAGGTCAGACCATAGGTGGCATAGTTCCAGGTTGTCCAAACCTAAAATTTCGAGCCTGGTGGCATAAGGGATTCTGTTGTGAGCAGAGGAGTGAAGTACTCTTCTCGTGAAATACGTCTGGACCTGTTCAATTGTATTAATGTCTGATATACAGTGTGTCCAATATATATTATCAGGATATAATACTGCTGTTTAGTGCTACAGCTCATTAATGTATGAGGTTCAAATAATATGGGTATCCATTATTATCCATGCCCTTAGGAGAATCCATTGTGCATGTGTGTTTTTGCACATATTTATGTGAGAGAGTATTTCCATGATGGTGAAACCACTGAGGTGGAGATTCTTTTGTTGTACCTGCTGAAACTTCTGGAGGTAGAACACCATTGAAATAGTCTAGCCCTGTGGTGATAAGGACAAGAAGGATTACCGGTATGACTAAAACCTTCTGGTCCAGTAGGATGTGACTTAACCCAGGGACTCTGGCATATTCCCATTGTAGTAAGCCAGACAAATAAATAACCACTGTAGGAATGACTTCTAGCTGGAAATTTTAGTGACAGTGAACATGTTCTTTTGGGTTTGTTCTATAGCAAGCCTGTCAAACTGGTGGCCTGGGGGCTGGCTACATCATGCAGAGCCCACACCACCCTGGCTCTGCAAAGCCAAAAAACATTGCAATATATCACGATCTGGCCTGTGACACAATCGAGTTTGACACCCATGTTCTATAGCATTAGCTTTCTGGATACTAGTTGGTTTATTTTGTTTTCATCTCATGCATGAGTCTAATAAACTTGTCTTAGGAATCTGAATAAGTGTAGTCAGGGATATATCGGCAGTTAGTGATGAACAGTATACAACATAGATGAAAGCCCTGCAGAATCTCTTGGGAAGGGCAAGTTGGAAAGTAGGTGCATTCAAAAATATGGCCATATATTATATAGCAGATTAAAGCTATAGGTTTTTATCAATTTAAGTTGGTTCTTCCAAACTTATGCAGTCTTAACACTGCTAAGTTTAATATCATTTTATTTAATGTAAAAGGTCCAACTGAATTTGGAGTAAGGAGTTAGATAGAAAGTTTGTGTCACACAAGTTATGCATATATGCTATGGATGAAAACTATCTAAGATGTTCAAGTTCTATACAATGACGTTAATGGCTAATTATATCTGCTTTTTCTTCCTGTTCTGATTGAGGCAGATATATAGCTGATGCAAAACAACTTAATATATTCCCAGATAGTTACATTAACATGAGCAGCTAATGAAGTTTCTATGCTCTTATTTCCAAAAGATACAAAAGCCATAATAAGATTTGCAAAAGGTGGAATTGATTAGCAGGTTTTCCCCCCGTTGTCCATATAAGATTCTTAGACATAGCAAT